CAAAATATACAAGACAGGCGAGAGGAGTTGACAATCCGCTTTGTGAAAAGTGCTAACATCGAGCACTCATAAGTACCTTTTATCAATGCATCTCTTCGACATTCATGATAGAAACACAAGGAATGGGAGTGAGTCACTGCAATCAGTCACATGCAGAACTGCTCGTTAGAGTAATTCCAGTATCCCATGTATAGTTGCCAAACATAACATGCAGTGAATGTATTGCAAATTTGTCTTTATATACTGTAGCATTTTTTTTCTTTATTAGTATATCACATCCTTAATAAGATGTATACATATATATGTATATATAAACATATATATACATAAAATGTATATATACACAAAATATGTATATATATACATATACATACATATATACATATTTATACATACGTACTCACATATACACACACACATACACACACAAATACACACACATATACTCACACACATACATATGCACATACATACATATACGCACACATTCATATACGCACACATACATATACGCACCCATATATATACGCACACATACATATACGCACACATACATACACACATACATACATACACACATATAAATGCACACATACACATTCATATATACACACACATACATACACACACACATACATACACACATATACATACACACACATACATACATATACATACATACACACATATACGTACATACACACATACATTCATACACACATATATTTACATACACACATATATTTACATACACACATACATACATACACACAAACATACACACATACATACATACATATATTTACATACACACATACACGAACATACATACATACACATACATACATACACACAAACATACACACATATACTTACAAACATATATTTACATACACACATACATACATACACACATATATTTACATACACATACACACACATATACTCACACACATACATATACACACATATATATACGCTGTAAGAGTTATGAAAGGCCCTCTAAACATTGGTGACAGGGAGTAGTAAAAGCTTGGTGGCTTAAAACCCTTTATTGATAAGAGTTCAGCACACGGAGTTGATAACACAATGATGGCAAAGCGGTCAGACGTGACCTCGCCGTGGCACAGAACACTCTCACTGCTGACCGGTCAAGCATGGTCCTTTATATGCGATGAGGGCTTGGAGGGGGGCAATGAGGACCGCCCATCCGTTGGGGCACGCCACTTGGGTTGCCTAGTGTGGGCGCCACGCGGGCATATAATAACGATATAATACACTATATTGCTCGGCTCGTCCTCGAGGCGATCTAGACTTCCTCAAGGGTGACCCAACCTGGCTGGTCCTAACTTGCTCGTCCTCGATCTCGGGTGTGGTATCCTTGGTGCATCTCCGTGGCTGCTCATTCTGTGTCGTCATCCTCGCTCTGGTCCCTGGTAATCCGTTCGTCCTCGACATCCTCACGTCCTCGACATCCTCACGTCCTCGACTGGTCTTGTGCAGGTCCTCGCCCAGACATCTTCATAGTCTGCGTACAGGTCAAACTCGGCGGCTTATTCGCCCAATGCACGTCTCGTAAATCTCCGTCCAGATCCTTCTCGGCTGCGTGCTCGTACAGACGTCCTCGTAATCTTCGTCAGGATCTACGGGCGTCCGGCAGGAAGCGTCCTCTTCGACATCGTAGGGCGACTGATACCTGCACTAATGAGCTCCTGGAGATTGACTGGGTTTGCGGCATCCAGGCAGGCCCGTCCACAGCATCATAGGACGGCGAACCCCTACTGGGGAGCTCCTGCTTCCGCTGGATCTCGGGTGTCCTGGCGAGCGGCGATCTCTGATGACGTTTTCGAATGGCTTCCGAAGGTGACCGTTTCTGCAGCGAAACGCTGCAGAAACATACCGTTTCAGATATCGGGAACCAGAATAACACATAATGGGCCAGATAGTGAGAGAAGGAAAAACGACAGAGAAGAGAAGGTGTTAAATGCTAGAAGCCAATTATTTGTTTCATAATTTGCAGTTTTTAAAGTTGAAATTTCGTTATTTTCGTCTTTTTTTCATTTTGTACTTTATGTTCACAAAGTTGAGTAAAAAGAGGAAAATAGGAGAGGGAGACGTTGGTAGCGATCCGCAAGGACCTAGCTTGAACTACCAAAACCGTCTCTGATAGACACGAGAATAAAGTCAGGGGAACAACAATTGGCAACCCACAAGGATTTTACTTGAACCAAATGTCGAAACCTAAAGAAAAGTATAGTGATTGACAGGTGTCAATGAAAGTAAGAGTAACCTCCTATAGCAGTAGCATTGCCAACACGCTGAATAAAGTTCATATTTACCATAATGCGACTAATTATTTATAGACGTAATTCAAAATTATTTCAAGTACCACATTGAATTTAACATTTAATGATATGCGACAAAATGATGCATTAATGAATGGTGACGTGAAATTATTCGCAAGCCTCTTCGCGAGCAAATTTTCTTGGGAATTTTCCTGAGGAAGTAGGTATGTCTTACCGGTCATGCAGACTTCATTTGACGGGGGGCTTCCCCAAAAATTGTCGTATTTTATGAAGCTTAAACGAGCTGGGAAAATCTATAAATTACCCACTCTATCTGTGGATCTATGATGGGCGCTCATGAAATGCCCTGCGGTGATTTATCATGAATCACGAACCGATGGGATTTTACCCAACATGACGGCGACATGTAAAGTGTGAGCGGGTTGTGATTAATTAAGTGGATCCTAAATCAGACATAAATCCTAGTCCTAAATTAATGGACATAACTGCGGTCACCCTGGCTCAAAGTTTGCCGAACGTATGATTTACTTCAGTTACCTTAACCTACTCTCATACGTGAGTCATTACACATAATTGCAACCTTTCAATGAGGATACCTCTTGGCGTTATATTTAATTATACAAGTCGCGTTACAAGTTCCGTTCTGGCGCAGATAGAATTTGTCACCATGAACATGTAATGGTTGCTATGCATTCACCCTATATTGTGACAACTATTTCAAACAATTAAAAGGGAATTAGCAAGCTGGTTTTCTCTACCATTTACTGAGATAACTACTCCTAGTGAAAGTCAGATCAGGTCACCACAGCTATTCGAAGAATGACCATCAGGTGAGGTCAGGTCACGACAACTGTCCCCAAGTGGACTCTGATTAACGACTTTCAGATGAGGTCAGGTCAAGACAGAAAAATGGAGAGAGATGAATTTAATGAGTGAATATTCGTGAAAGAATAAATTCACGAACGCGTTAAATTCGATACAATTGAAACAATATAATTTAATCACGAAAAAAAATTATATAGACGCTTAATAAATGAACGATTTCATACTGTTTAAACCTTTCGGTGCGGGTGTCACACTGTCCGTGAAGGAGCTTTCCGTACACCTCGTGCTGGCGTCACAGCGTACGTAACGCAACATATTCTGCCTATTAATCGGTCATATTTCCCATATTTAGAACTTAATGTCTATTTGCACATCTTTATCATTTTATTTCCTTCAGAACTAAAGTGTAAAACATTCAATTTATATTCGTATTTTTCAGGTATTTTATTTTTTATAAATCGCATAACGGGTTTGGAAAGTGGCTGCATTGTTGTCTAGCGGTGTTTGGCAACTCTCCCCACGGCCGGCTCAAGCGAGCGTCCGTTAAATTATATTTTTAAAAAATGTTTCCTTTTTCATTATTGTGTTCTGCATGTGTTATATATTGTTGTTGTTTTTTTCATTTGCCTTCATTGTTTTAAGACTTTATTATTTTATAGTGGTAAGATTTATTTTGAATAAATTACTCGAAACCTTCGCGCGAGGGGAGAAATGTACGAAACCTTTGGCGGGAAAATCTCTCCGGATGGTCAACGCGTAATCAGCCGCTAATTACCGCTGCAATTATGTCGAAGAGACAGAAGAACGCGATGATATATGACAGCGACCGTGAATCCCTGAGATTCTGAAGATTCTGACGAATTTGATGCAGATGACCCTGATGAAATGAATATAGGTAAGCGATAATTGTTCTCGTGGGATAGAAGGAACACTAGCGCAGATGTGGAATTTGATCGTGATAAATTTCTCATATTAGATTTGAATATCCAAAATGAAGTAATTAGAGATTACATATCACATGACCTTGAATGTAATACAATCTATTATATTAGAATTATTCGATATATTCTAACCTATTGTGGGCCATTACTTGAACACATGCTATTTTGAAAATATTCACTTTCGTCCAGACATTCTGATCCACTGATGCACACAACCCCGATGCTAATGTTCCCAAGTACCGATGTACTACAGTGCCGATGGTCCCCGGAAATATAAAATCAACACCAACATAGATTTCTTTTGAGACGAATCGAAGATTACTTGATTTATTGATTCACTTCGATTTTTGGACGTTTTCGATACAGTTCAATATGCGTTGATTTATAGTTTGTGTAAATAATCAGTGGGCCATTTGCTCTCTCTCTCTCTCTCTTTCTCTCTCTCTCTGTCTGCTCTCTCACTCACTCACTCCCTTACGCACTCTCTCACTCTTACGCTCTCTCTCTCTCTCATACGTTCTTACAAGAGAGAGAGAGGAAAGAAAGATATGAGAGAGAGAGAGAGAGAGAGAGAGAAAGAAAGGGAGAGAGGGAAAGAAAGAGAGAGAGAAAGGGAGAGAGAGAGACAGAGAGAGAAAGAGCGGAGAGAGAGAGAGAGAGAGAGACAGAAAGGGGGACAAAGAAAGAGAGATAGAAGGGGAGAGAGTGAGAGAGTGAGAGAGAGAGAGGGAGGAGAGAGAGAGGGAGAGAGAGAGAAAGAGAAATAGAGAGAGAAAGAGAGAGAGAGACAGAAAGGGGGATAAAGAAAGAGATAGAAGGAGAGAGAGAGAAAGAGAGGAGAGAGAGAGAGAGAGAAAGAGAAAGAGAGAGACAGAAAGGGGGATAAAGAAAGAGAGATAGAAGGAGAGAGAGAGAGAGAGAAAGAGAG